AAAGAAGGAGGGGGAGAAGAGAAGCCTCTGCTGTAACTGCAAGTATTGGAAATAATCAACGGGTGGCTAATTGCTGTCAGGGTTGGAAAATAGATTTTTAAAATTAAAATACTAATAAATTAATTTAATTCAAATACGATTGTTATTCTTCTAAAACAATGTCTGGTAGTTTAATAAAAAATAATAATTTAGGTACAGGAGGGAGATTAATGCCAGGTATTACTCATCACCAAAATTGTTCACATTTTAACAATACACTTATTAATAACTGTCAACACCCAACAATTCAAACACTCGGAGACAGAAGATTTTATTTATTTCCTTCAGATAGAGCACCTATTAGTTTAATTGAAGCTCCCCCAACTTATCAGGATGCTCTTAAACATCCAAAAGTAATCATCTAGTTTGGGTGCTCTACTAACCAGGAATGGGCAGGATTACACGAAACCCGATCCGAAGAAAATTTCGGAAGCCCGACCCAAACCTGTATTTTTTCCCATCCCCTATCCATTTCTGCTACTTTGCTTTCTTTTTATCTATAAAAGTTTTTTAAGTTCACAGCCCCTCCAGCACGTAATTCTCGTCATCTTGTCCATCCAACTACTGACAGACCAGAAATTTCTGATTTTCAAAATTTAAATTTTCGATTATCTCCCAATGAATTACAAATGGAATTTGAAGAAATTGAAAGGGAAAATGAAAGGATTAGATGGTTACAAATGAATGAAAATGGAATTGAAGAAGAGGAAGAAGAGGGAATTGAAAGAAATGTAGAAAGGGAAGAACAAGAAGATGAGAATAAAGAAGAGGAATTACCCCAAACAATTAATTTGGACGAATTTGAAGAAATTAATTTAAATGATGATAATGAAGATGGAAAAAGTAAAAAAGAAGAAAAGTGTGAAGAAGATTGTTGTTATATTTCCGGGCCTAGGTTGGTTGCGAGGGAATTTATGTGGTGTTTTACCTAAGAATAAGTATTTATGTAGAGGTGTTTGAGAGTTTTTTTTTCAAAAATAATTGACAAAATTCAAAATTTTCATAAAATTAAATATTTTTGAAATAATTTTTGTTACTCTTATGTTATCCGCCCCTGGCTATAATTATTTAAAACAATCCAATCCGAATGAATCACATGCATCACCTTTTTCCCAACTAGATGGATCAAGTCTGATCACCCATTAAAAAATTACAAGTCGATAAGTTCCATTGAAAAAAGATAGAGCTTATCAAGGGCTTTTGAATGATATAAGTTCATTCGGATTGGATTAAGCATCAAAAAGTTATAACCGCTCAAATTCGGAAAAAAGGAAAATGAGGGCGGATAACACAAGAGTGCCCAATTTTCTTTGAAATAAATAAGGTAATATTGAAAATATTTTTTGAGTAAATTTAACTACTTTAAATATTCATTAGTTAATTTATCATTTAAATTTTTATTAATCTTTAAAATTTTAGTACATCCAAAAATGATGAAAGAAATGAAAATTCTAAAAAAGAAGAGAATAATGATCATAATATTTCAACAAATTTAAGCAAAATATTTAAAAAAGAAATTATTAATTCAAAAGAAAAAGGCGAAGAAAATAAAAGAAGTAATACTGTTATAAGGCCATCAAGTGCCCGTTCAAATAAAATTTTGAGTAGAGAAAATAATTATAGAATGCAAAACAGTTTTTGAATTTTCAATTTTTTGTTTTTAAATTAAACGCTCAAAAATTTATATATTGAATATCCACAGTTATTTAAATTGGGAATTTTTATTAAATTCAGTTATTTAAAGTGCCTGTGCCCAAAAGCCCTTTCGGGTGGACACCCAATTTGTACGGCCTCCGACTATGGGAAGGAGGACAGAGAACTCAACTAAAGGAGGACAGAGAACTCTTAGGCTTATAAGCGATGATGACGACGACAGCCTACCCGAAAATCCCCAAAACTAAACACACCAAAGAAGAAAAGATTTATTTAAATTAACAAATAAATTTAGCGGTCCGATAACAGTTCGGAATCCGCGGTGTGGTAAATTGGTGATTAAAATATATGGTGAAATACGAACAGATAATTAAGTTAGTGCTCCGCTCTCCTGCTCCCAGTTGAAGGGAGAAAAGTTAGTTTTATTGATTGGGTTTAAAGGAATTAGAAAATTGGGTTTTTGAAGAAGGTTTTGAAGAAGTGATTTAAGGGAGAGCCGAGCGCTAACCTGTCAACCAAAAATAGGCGTGGTTAAAATGAAATAAATTGTGGGAGGCGAATAAAAATAGTGCGTAAATGCAACAATGCGAGAGGAATGGGAAAATAGTAGAGGGCTTATGCCCTTTTGGGCACACTCCCCCCGGCAAAACAAAAAATGTTAAACGAGAAAGACGTGAATGTCTGAATGCTATATGTATTGATTTCATCAATCTCTTCGCAGCCCCATCAATAGCCAGTAAGTCATGTTCTTCCTCATTTGTCAACTTGGCTCTGCCAGATTCCATAGAGTGAATTGCATCAGAAATCTGACCGCAGAGTTGACCCGTGGTGGTACTGACCTTTTGCAAAGTTTCTGAAAGTTGATCAGAAACTCCCCAATGTGAACGCCCAGAATCTGAACGGGAATAACGGTCATTGGGTTCAACCCGATCTTGCTCACCTACAGTACTTACTTTCTCTCCACCTTTAGAACGCCCAGATGAAGAAGAACATTTCCACTGTGCTTGTGCAGGAGTGGCTACCGCAATCTTCTTGGCCGCTTCCTTGTGAGTGGCGGTCCCTTCACAAACTCCCCCTGTGGCTGCTGGCGCGTTGACATCTGTTTGTTGAGCCCAAGGAAATAAGTATTTAGTTTTGAGAAGTTATAGAAGAAAGATTAGTGAAATAAATTAGAAACCTAAGGAAATAAGTATTTAGTTTTGAGAAGTTATAGAAGAAAGATTAGAGAAATAAATTAGAAACATAAGGAAATAAGTATTTAGTTTTGAGAAGTTATCGAAGAGAGATTAGTGAAATAAATTAGAAACCTAAGGAAATGAGTATTTAGTTTTGAGAAGCTATAGAAGAAAGATTAGTGAAATAAATTAGAAACCTAAGGAAATAAGTATTTAGTTTTGAGAAGTTATAGAAGAAAGATTAGTGAAATAAATTAGAAACATAAGAAAATAAGTATTTAGTTTTGAGAAGTTATAGAAGAAAGATTAGTGAAATAAATTAGAAACCTAAGGAAATAAGTATTTAGTTTTGAGAAGTTATCGAAGAAAGATTAGAGAAATAAATTAGAAACATAAGGAAATAAGTATTTAGTTTTGAGAAGTTATAGAAGAAAGATTAGTGAAATAAATTAGAAACCTAAGGAAATAAGTATTTAGTTTTGAGAAGTTATAGAAGAAAGATTAGTGAAATAAATTAGAAACCTAAGGAAATAAGTATTTAGTTGTGAGAAGTTATCGAAGAAAGACTAGAGAAATAAATTAGAAACCTAAGGAAATGAGTATTTAGTTTTGAGAAGTATAGAAGAAAGATTAGTGAAATAAATTAGAAACCTAAGGAAATAAGTATTTAGTTTTGAGAAGTTATCGAAGAAAGATTAGTGAAATAAATTAGAAACCTAATAAGTATTTAGTTTTGAGAAGTTATCGAAGAAAGATTAGAGAAATAAATTAGAAACCTAAGGAAATGAGTATTTAGTTTTGAGAAGTTATAGAAGAAAGATTAGTGAAATAAATTAGAAACCTAAGGAAATAAGTATTTAGTTTTGAGAAGTTATCGAAGAAAGATTAGAGAAATAAATTAGAAACCTAAGGAAATGAGTATTTAGTTTTGAGAAGTTATAGAAGAAAGATTAGTGAAATAAATTAGAAACCTAAGGAAATAAGTATTTAGTTTTGAGAAGTTATAGAAGAAAGATTAGAGAAATAAATTAGAAACCTAAGGAAATAAGTATTTAGTTTTGAGAAGTTATCGAAGAAAGATTAGTGAAATAAATTAGAAACCTATTAAGTATTTAGTTTTGAGAAGTTATCGAAGAAAGATTAGAGAAATAAATTAGAAACATAAGGAAATAAGTATTTAGTTTTGAGAAGTTATAGAAGAAAGATTAGAGAAATAAATTAAAAACCTAAGGAAATAAGTATTTAGTTTTGAGAAGTTATCGAAGAAAGATTAGAGAAATAAATTAGAAACCTAAGTGAACTGTATCAGTTCACTAAATTCGGTTCGAGCCTTGGATAAATAAACTCTTTAGTTCACAAATAAAATATTTATTCGAGTTTAAAATTTATAATTAAGTTAGATTGAATTCAAAATAAGTTAAAGGAGTAAAAGTTCAATAGAAGTTAATTCAATATAAGTTAAAAATGACAAATTGAGGGGGAGTATATATAGTGATCCTAAAGTAAACATAAATCGTTATTGTAAATGGACTGTCAGAATTAAATAAAATGAAAAACAAAATATAAGTTAAGGATTGTTGGGTAAACATTAAATCGGGAAAACTCAGAAAACCTTTTATAAAATCGGAAGATCAAGAGTCATGCATTGAAATGCACAAACATGTCATGCATTGAAATTCACAAAATGCTCAGTAGAAACAGGAAATTATTAGAAAAGATTAATTTAGGAGATATAAAACATTTGAGCACGAATAAATATTTTCTAATTTAATTTTGAGTATACTTTTTATTTGGAAATTTTCTCCCTATATACATTTTAATCAAGATTTTGATACTTTTGATTGGTATTTTGTCGATGCTAGCCCTGCTCTAAACATATCCTCATTGCAACTTAGCTTTACAACGCCGAAGGCCAAAATTTAGAAAATAAAAATTTCGGTCCGGATATCCGAAGATTTCCAACTATCCGACAACCTTAGAGGACAGAGCCAGCTGTAGAAGAATGTCTCCATTCATCTAGTTCAATATAATCAACACAAATATTAAATAAATCATTAGTATGTATGTATTTAATTCATAAATATTATTGTTATTTAATCTTCATTATTTCCATTTATTCTTTTGGTTTGTTGTTTAGGGACGGTCTAGGTGGGCAAGGGGTGTAAGGCACATCCGTATATGGAGAACCTGATGATGATTATTACCATTATTCCACTGCCTTCTCGGCTGATACTCTTTATCATTCAAAAACTTAAACTGCATCCGCCAATGACCAAACCGTCCACAATGACTACACTTCTTCTGAATGAAATTTTGTTGATACTTGACGTTTGGTTTGGTCCATTCTTTTTTGCACTCACTTTCATTTTCACTTTCAGTATTTTTACTGCACTTCAGCTTTTCCACTGTGTTTACTGTCGGCACTTCTTTTTTAACTTCACTCATTTTTTCTTTTACAATATACAGCGCCTCACTTTTGTTTGCCATGAATGCTCTACACTCTTCAATAATTTCTTTCAAAGTCACTGAATGCCCAACTGTACTTATACTTTCGACACTTTTCATCGCCACTTGTCCGACTGCAGTAGCATCACTTGGCAAACCTGATTAAAAATCAGAATTTTCAATTCCTCAATCGACAATGCCATTTCGGCTCGCTCACATTGAGCATTCACTAAATTCCCAAACTCGACAATGTCTTGGAGGGCACTACACTTAACATTTAAGGCCTCGAACCTTTTTAACAACTTAGACCTATGATCACTAAAATCTTTCACTAATTCATTACAGAGGTCGTCGAACTTCATCTCACTCAACTTAGTTGGCTGCATCTTCCTTTCAATTTGGGCATACTCTTCTGGTCCCAATTTACTTAACAACAATCTCACTTTAGAGGATTCTGGCAGGATTTTACCCTGCTCCTCAAAAAAGGAACGATGCCTGCCCAACTATGACTCAAAGGTCATATCACTAGACAAATCAAAACTAAACTCACCGATCATTCCCACTAATTTACTGTACAACTCGGTGTCGTGCAATTCACTCGGCTTCAGCAGCCTCACTAACATTTTCTTAAAGTGTTCCTGTTGAGCCTTCAATAACTTCTCCACTGTTTTTGTATCCATTGCTTCACTCACTACAATAAACTTATCACTACGCTTTTTAAACTAAACACTACACTTTTTAGTTTACCTTTTAGGTTTTGCAACACTCCAATTTATCCACACTTTACTTTGCTGCACTGCACAACGCTGACGTTGACGACCACTTTCTAACTCAAAGGTCTTTCTAACTCAACGAAACTGTCGACCCGTCACGCCATAAGTACACGTGTATTTTTGATATATCAGCAGTATATTTTCATATAAAAGTTAAATCAACTTTGACTAAAATTACCTTCCCGCAACCACAAATACTTCATTTCTTCATTTGTTTCAAATCGTTAGTTCACGTCAGTCTCCTCAAAATGTCAAACAACACCCGTTCATCATTCTCTGCTAAGGAACAGCAGTTGACAATCAATTCTCTGACAAACAAACTCCGCCACAGAGATGAGCAACTCCAGCGAAAAGATGATCAACTGCAAAGGAAGGAAGAAGAACTTGAACGAGTGGTGCTGGAGTCTGCTCACAAAGATGTTTTGCGTGCACAACAAATTGAACAGGACAGGGACAATCTGAATATCATCTACAATCGTCTCACTACAGTTTCTGAAGGGATAAATGAGGCTAGTTTGATTTATTTAATTAGTCTAAACTAATTTTTTAGCTTCAAGCTCTGGTTCGTCTCAGATTGGATGTGTTGGCTATTCGTTCCGCTGCTGATGCTGTTGTCGTTGCTCCTTCTGGTGCTGGCCCTGATCATTCTGTTCGACATGATGTGTCTGACGATTCTAATGCTGTAGCTACTGCTAATCCGCTGTACGAGGAGTTACCAGACGATAGTAGTAATGCTGCTGCAGACGAGCAATAGTGTAAAGAGATGAAGAAACGAATAGGAATGAATAAACTATATGTGTTTTTGTGTAAATTGTACATAATGTTTCTTTGTATTTGGTTCTTGTAATTCTAAGCTCTCTATTCCTTGATACTCTAAAATTCCTTAGCTTTCTATTTCCTTCTTATGAATAAATAATAAGTTTTGTGTTCGCAAGTTTTTTATTAGCGTCAAAAATTTAGACTCATAATTTGACCACCTTTCCAATTTCTTTAAAAAAGAGAAAATAAACTTAAAGTTTTGAATGGATTTCAACATCCAAAATTAAGGATTATGCGACACTTTAATTTGACACCATAATTATTTAGGCATAATCTCCAGAAATTTTATTTCTGAATCTCATTTTAAAGATGTAAATCTAACAAATGAATCAGAATTCATGATAAAGAATTGGCTGCTTATTGTTAGTGACATCTTTAGAAATTGAATAAATACTGTGTCCAATTACAAACCTTTTATCTCGTGATCAAATTTTTTGATCAAAACCTCAAATTTTTTCTTTTTATAATTTCATTTTAAAATTAATGTATTAATTTCTTAAATAAGAAAATCATCTTTATGTTAGTTTGGATCTCGATATTCTAGTTTTGAGTCATTTGTGAATTGTTTCCCTGTACTATATTATTAATTGACACCAACGAAAAACAACAAAAATAATTTCTTCTTGAATTCCTTTAAAAAATAGTCTTCATATTTCTTTTTTTCTCAATTATTTTTTGGGAGAAATACATATATGTATGAAATAGGGTTGATTTTAAAAACACATAAATAAATATGTAATTATAACAAGCTTTTCACATTTTTATAATCAAATTAAAAATATTTTGAACAAGTTAGTAAGGCTCTTACTAATGGGTTGCCGGTTTAAAAAGTAAAGAAAAAAGAATTTAAACCGAATCGAAAAACCAAAAATATATGTATTTATTTTGAAAAACAATAAATAAATTTTTTAATTTTAATGAGATACTCTTTATTAAATTAAAAATCTTTAAAAGATATTCCTTTTTAAATTTAATTTTAAAATTGTTCATAACTTCCATCAACGAAGCCAATGGAGGAAATTAGGATTTCTTTTAAAATAATGATAAAATTATGAGAATAACTTGAATCGACTTCATTAAAAAATTTTTAAAAAAATTTTTGCATCCAAAAATGATGAAAGAAATGAAAATTCTAAAAAAGAAGAGAATAATGATCATAATATTTCAACAAATTTAAGTAAATATTTAAAAAAGAAATTATTAATTCAAAAGAAAAAGGTGAAGAAAATAAAAGTATAAATATAAAAAGGCCATCAAGTGCCCGTTCAAATAAAATTGTGAACAGAAAAAATAATTATAGAATTCAAAACAGTTTTTGAATTTATTTTTTGTTTTTAAATTAGGTAAATGCTCAAAAATTTATATATTGAATATCCACAGTTATTTAAATTGTTATTAAATAAATGGAGAATTTAGCCTTTAATTGGGTTTACGATCAGAACATTAATTATAATTAGGATTGTGGCCCGGTCCGGTCCTAAAGATCGAGTTGGGCATCGAATTTTGGCCCGAAAAAGGCTCGGTCGAGCCAGTCCAATAAAAATGAGACTCGAAAAAAATGACTCGAACGTCGGCCTACTCGAAAACCCCAACCGTGATTATAAACATAAGTTAAATTTATTCAAAAATTTAATTCTTATCTCGTTTGACACGTTTTAATTTCAAAAATTAAAATTAATGAAATATGTATATGTACTTGAGTAACTTGGATAAATGGATTCCGTTAGATATAAAAAATCCGGATTTGGTTAGATATTTCAAACAAGATAAGAACTAGGCTTTCTAATGATATATGGAATGTGTAATTAACGTTTTAACAGAGATTAAAGGCTCTAAATCTATTTGAGCACCCTAAATACTTTATTTATCTAACAAATAATTCTCCAAATATTTCGATTTTTGAATAAAGTTTTTTAAATATTTATTTTTAAAATTAATTAAAAAATAAGAATCTACCTAAATTTATGTATATTTATTTTTTCAATAAATCAAAGTATAAAGAAAATGGTTCTGGCGGAAACCTTTAAAAATTAAATAAATATATCCAATTACAAACCTTTTTTTATTTTCTGATCAGCTTTTTTTTCCTTTACTTTTTAATTTTCTTAAATAAAAACATTTTTTATTTAATTTTGTTAAAGAAAGAAATCGTTTATTTATTTAATGTTTAACCTCAGCCATACGTAACTTCCCTTTTACTCAGCTTCCATTTAACATTGATTAATCAAAATATTTTTTGATTTTTAAAACTTTTAGTGATCCAAACCAAGTATGAGCGGGCGCAAGGGACAATTTCTCAAAACGTAACGCAAAACCAACACCTCCACCCCTGATCCAAACAAAATCTTCAATGAATTTTAGCTTTTTTCGATAATTGAGATTTATCTCTTTCTACAATATTAAATCTTGTCATTACTTATAAAAAATCAAAACTCACAATTTCCAATCCAAAAATATACTAGGTATTTATTGCCTATATACAATTTTCCAAGCATCAAAACTTAAATTAATAAAAATAATTTTTTTTGTTAATTTATTATATTATAATTTAAAATATAATATAAAATAAAATTAGTCCTTATTTTAAAACTCCAACAAATATTTTATTAATTATATTTGCCCTCTATGTATAATAAAGCCAAATTAATATTTAAAATCCAAAAAAAAACTTCTACTTTTTTTAATTTAAATAACATTTTATATTAAATTTATTAAAAAAATATTTTTAAATTCTTTTTTTTTCTTAATTTATTTACATTTTTTCTTGTACTAAACAACAACAAAAACAACAATATCTTCTCACATTTCTTTAAAAAATAAATTCATCACATTTCCCGTTTTTTCTCCAATTATTTTTTGGGGGGAAATATACATAATATAAAGGGTGTTTTCTCTTTATTTAAAAAATACCTTCTATATAAAAAAATAAATAATTTCCTAAAAACACGCAATAAATAATTAAAAATATTTACTTTTTAAAAATACCTTTAAATAAATATTATTGGGATTTATATTTGAATAAATTCAGATCTACTAAATTTAAAATATCTATAAATTTAAAAATTTTGCTAAGATTTCCAAGACTTTTTAGCAATTACCATTAGAGATCGAACTGAGAATAATCTTGAATAATACTCTCGGTGCCTTGATCGAAATAACTAAAGGCTTCATTTTAAAGGAATAAAAAGGAGAATTTAGAAATTAAACTGGAACAAACTAAGGAACCTTCGATATAGTAATTATGAATTAAGACAATTCTCTCCCTCTCTCTACATTTTCCAAAATCTAGAATTATTTAAAAAATTAATTATATTTTTTAATAGAAAAATTTTTAAATTGTTGTGAGTACAACAAAAATTTTATTTTTATTTTTAAAAAATATTATAATAAATATTTTTTTTATTTTATGTACTTACGTCAATATTTATTAAATTAAAAATCTTTAAAAAATCATTTCTTTATTAAATTTAATTTTTAATTAAATAATATTTTTATGTATATTTTTTATTAATTTCCTTCTTTAACATAGCAACCTCCCCCCCCCCCCCCCATTTAAACTACCTCA